CTCCTGGAAGATGATGCAGAGTGGGTACAATACCTCCAAAAGGCTTCAACTATGAATACGGGATACCAGTTACGGAGACTATTCTGTATTATTCTTATAGAATGCTCCCCAATACAGCCATGTACTTTGTGGAATCAATTCTCCTTCCATATATGTGATGATCTGCATCACAAGCTACAAACAACTTTTGGCATTTGCGATCCAACGCAGCCTCAAATTGAGGATTATGGTTTATATCTAATTGATCAGTTGCTACATGAATCTAGCAAAAATTTGGATAACTACCCACCCATGCCACACCCCGTTGAAAATTGGAGTTATGTTTCAAGTAATAGATTGTCGATCACATGCAACTAAGAAACGAAGAAAATCAACTGAATGTCCTTTTGAATATTAATGTTTTAAATGATGCTCAATGTACGACTTACGATGCTATCACTATCTTCGTTGCTGAGAATCAGGGCAAAATATTTTTCCTCAATAGAGGTGCAGGAACAGGCAAAACCTTTTTTGTACAACACCATTCGATAGCTCATTTTACATTCTGCATTCCATTCGATATCATAGAAAGCTTAGTATGTGGTTTCAGCAAACCGTCACCGCATGGGGAATTATTCAGGGAGGCTTGCTTAATAATGTGGGATGAGGTTCCCATGCAGCATCGACATGGTGTTGAGGCTGTTGATCCCACACTCTGCAATGTTTGTGATGATACCCGACCATTCGACAGTATCACGATCGTGCTTGGCGGAGATTTCTGTCAAATACTACCAGTGATACCTAAGGGTGGGCGAGAACAAATTACTGGTGCATCCTTGAGACGTTCTGCAATGTGGGCGAGTGTCTATGTACTAACTTTGGGCATAAACATACGTTTGAATAGCAATTATCCTGCAAATTCCCCTTATGCATCCTTCTTGGAAGAGGTGATTTATAATATATATTATAGATTTATATTTATATAAAACCATCTAATTATTCATTTACATGTACTGACTGAATTCACATCAAACTTAGATTGGGATCAGTACGCAAGATACTGTGGAACTTCCTCTAATGATACATAGGTATCGAACTCTGCATGAACTAATTTTCAGAGTTTATCCACAACTAAATGTGCTCAATGCGGTAACCCCATCCTACTTAACTGAGCGCACAATTCTTTCCGCTCAAAATGATGATCTCTGCTCTATCAATGATGATGTTCTACAAATTTACCCTGGCGAGACATATACCTACTTGGTAGTTGACAAGGTGTCGAATGGGGAAGATCTCTGTTGTTCTACCACTAATCAATATCCAAGTGAGTTTCTGAATTCCCTAAACCTGTCAGGTTTACTGCCATTCAAGTTGGAGCTAAAGGTCGGGTGCCCATCATTTTGTTAAGGAATATAGCCCCAAAAGATGGCCTCTATAATGGGACAAGACTTATGGTTGTCAAGTGCCCATCACGGGTTATTGAGACTAGAATTCTAACTGGTAACAAATCTGAGAATCTGTGTTTCATCCCGCGTATATCATTATCACCGTCGTCTAAAGATTTACCATTTCAAATGACTAGACGCCAATTCCCAGTACATTTAACATATGCTATGAAAATCAACAAGTCATAGGGCCAGTCAGTCAAGTTTGTTGGTGTAGATCTATGCTCGCCTATATTCAGCCACGATCACCTATATATGGCCATGTCTAGATGCACGTCGGCCGATCGCATTGGTGTCCTTTTCCCTCTTGATGGATTAGCTACCACGACAAATATCGTATATCCGGAGGTGTTGTTGCATTCAGTGTAAAATATTGTTACCTTTTTTTATGTATTGCAACTTATGTCAGGTCTAGGTCTAGCTTCTTTTCACACATGTATGATGATAAATTTTCAATGATTATATGTTTTTTTTTTTGAATTCATAGCATCTGTGTTCGACCCATTGAATGAGTGTAGACTTCTTTGTTGGGATACTAATAAGGTGTTTTAATGATATATTATTCTTTTAAACTTTATGCTTTTACCTTGTTCTTATTCCTGCATGTTTAACATTACATAGATTGTTGTTCAACCCAGCACATGGGAGCTTGATGTTGATACACACACTTTCCTACGCATAATGCCCCAGTTGTTTCCGCGGGTCCATTGTGTTCATGCCCCCACAACAGATTTGATTATCATGTAGTTTGTTGAAGTCGCCCTGTTTAGTAGCTCTACTGGGGGTAAAAAGGTTTGGGTGTCTTTGCCAAACTTAAAAGCAAGCATTCATACCATTTCTAATTGTTTTTTAAAGTAGTTGGAGTCATGTTTTGTTAGTGTCTTAGCTTGGTAGAAAACATATTTTTGATGTTATGTAAATGTGCTTGGGTTTACTCTAGCTGCCATATGTTTTGCACAAGGCTTTTTTCCTTTACATTATAGGTAACAACTAAATCATCGGATGATGTGAAACATGAGCAGATTAAGATTTTTATAAGTCCAAGGCCTGGTAAAGAATCCTTAAATGAAACCACTGAGATTAAATGTTGTCTTGTGAGAAACATGGAAGAGAGGAAGAAAGAGTATGACAGGGCACGAGCTCGAATTTTTAGTAGTCTGAGTAGTAGTAGTCTTGATTCGGTACATACAATGTCTCGGGCCCCTTTAGAGGGGAAGAATATGTGTTTCAGTGGAGATGATAGTGAAGCTTTAGGTGAAAACCTTAGCAGCAGGGATAGTGGTACTCCTTCTCGAGTAACTATTTTCAGAGACAGTCAAAAGGATCGCATTGACCTAGATTATGANCTGTTGATCCCACACTCTGCAATGTTTGTGATGATACCCGACCATTCGACAGTATCACGATCGTGCTTGGCGGAGATTTCTGTCAAATACTACCAGTGATACCTAAGGGTGGGCGAGAACAAATTACTGNGATAGTGAAGCTTTAGGTGAAAACCTTAGCAGCAGGGATAGTGGTACTCTTTCTCGAGTAACTATTTTCAGAGACAGTCAAAAGGATCGCATTGACCTAGATTATGACCAGAGTTGTGAAACGTAAGATATCGGTATTGGTCTTTGCACTGAGATTTAAAGTTATTTAGTTGCTAGCTATTATGCAATGTAGAAAATTTGTTTTAGCAGTTATATTTGTGGTGCCAAGAATTGGATTTTCAAATTGGGATTGTAAAGTTATATTTTGATTAAATGCATGTTAATTGTATGAAATTTTATAATGGACGGGATTTGGCAAATGAACCGTTTGTTGAAATGCTACATATACATACTATGTGCTCTTTCTCTCCTACATCACGCTAAATTCGATAGGAGCTTGATTATTTGATCATAAGTCTTTCTCTACACACCCCCATATCTTTTCCTAGATTAGTTGGTAATTTGTTACAATCTCTCTAAATTCTTACTTATATCAATCTAAATCCTCCCCCACCACTACATACAAATGTGTGTGCTCATTAGTTTTTTAGATAATTCAGGGTAATGGAATTGATGACAATAATTATGTTGAATCCAACTACCGACAAAAGTAAGGGGTCTTATATTTCGGATATACAAATGTTTTATTTTGCCTCACATATTTCAATAATTTTTATATTTCAAATATTTTCAAGTATACATGGAAGGATATGAAGATAAAGTTGAAGTTGTTTCTCTATTTGTGCATGTGTGTATTTTTTGTGTTTTATCTTTTGTACATTTAACTAATTATANCAATAATTTTTATATTTCAAATATTTTCAAGTATACATGGAAGGATATGAAGATAAAGTTGAAATTGTTTCTCTATTTGTGCATGTGTGTATTTTTTGTGTTTTATCTTTTGTACATTTAACTAATTATACATGGTTATGATGATTTTGGGTATGGAATGATGATTGTTTTGGTGGTTGGGTATGTATTAAGAGGAAATTCTGCCAAAATTTCTTGAAATTGGTAGAAACTAGGTTGATGTTTTGGTGGTTGAATATGTGTTGATGACTGTGTATGTGTTGATGATTGTGTATGTCTTGATTATTGTGGTGGTATGGTGAATTATGATGATTGTTATGTATGATTGTAAGTTCTATAGACAGGTTTAAATTTTTATGAATTCCTATTTTTTGATAAAATTTTGCTGAAATTTCCAAATAATAGTATGGACTACCTTGATTTCAAATTGACAGGTTGTTTTAGTTTGCAAAAAGTCTTTCAGTAATGTAGTATTCTTCAAGTTTTAATTTAATTTTTCGTTACTCCGTGTCTTTAGGCATGGACAATTACTAGTATAGACATATTCTAGCCATATCGGTATCATGTTATACTCATAATTCGTATCTGTATTGATATCTCTGCTTCCTAGCTAAGAAGATAACCTTTTGTGATTGTAGAGGACCTAGAGGCAACAGAACCTTGTTCTTGGATCAGAAACTTTTGTGTCCTACTCTACATGATCTTCTAATGGACTGATTTAACCACTCCATATTTCGTAGGCTTGATCCAACCTAATCTACAATTCTAATCTACCTTTCAACCTCAAATTTATTTGAGATTCATTACTGTTATTTAGATTTGATTCGTTAATATAATATAGCGTTAATTACACTGGAGGTCCCCAAAGTATGGAGTTTGTATCATTTTAGTCTCTAATATTTCAATTGTATTATTTTGGTCCCTGAAGTATTGAATATGTTTTTATATTATTCCTTCAAGCAAACAACGTCTAGATTGCTGACGATTTTTTATTATAAACTTGTCATGTGATACTTAAATATGGAAAAAAATAATTTAGATAACTCTTGACCAAATTGCTACTCAAATTTTGCATAAATAATTNTCAAATAATAGTATGGACTACCTTGATTTCAAATTGACAGGTTGTTTTAGGTTGCAAAAAGTATTTCAGTAATGTAGTATTCTTCAAGTTTTAATTTAATTTTTCGTTACTCCGTGTCTTTAGGCATGGACAATTACTAGTATAGACATATTCTAGCCATATTGGTATCATGTTATACTCATAATTCGTATCTGTATTGATATCTCTGCTTCCTAGCTAAGAAGATAACCTTTTGTGATTGTAGAGGACCTAGAGGCAACAGAACCTTGTTCTTGGATCAGAAACTTTTGTGTCCTACTCTACATGATCTTCTAATGGACTGATTTAACCACTCCATATTTCGTAGGCTTGATCCAACCTAATCTACAATTCTAATCTACCTTTCAACCTCAAATTTATTTGAGATTCATTACTGTTATTTAGATTTGATTCGTTAATATAATATAGCGTTAATTACACTGGAGGTCCCCAAAGTATGGAGTTTGTATCATTTTAGTCTCTAATATTTCAATTGCATTATTTTGGTCCCTGAAGTATTGAATATGTTTTTATATTATTCCTTCAAGCAAATAACGTCTAGATTGCTGACGATTTTTTATTATAAACTTGTCATGTGATACTTAAATATGGAAAAAAATAATTTAGATAACTCTTGACCAAATTGCTACTCAAATTTTGCATAAATAATTAACTAAATTACATAGTTTTGATCCTGAGCTATCTAAATTTTAGTCAAAGCTACTCATGTTACACATTTTTTTGTTAAGAGCTACCAAATTTTGTTTAAAAGCTATCAAAATTATTTTTTGTCCATATTTAAGTATTACGTGACAAATTTATGATAAAAAGTTATTGGCAATCTGGATATTGTCTCCTTGAAGGACCATATAGAAACATATTCAATACTTCATGGACAAAAATGATGCAATTGAAACATTAGGAACTAAAATGAGACAAACCCTATACTTTGGGGACTTCTAGTGTCAGTATTAAGACCCATTTTTAGTTTTAACACGATTTAATGAGATCCTAAGATAAACATTTCTTAGAAACCTATACAAGATGTAATCATCTAAAATTATATACTGCAGATTTGCATCTAGCCTCCATCTTAACATGCTTATCCCTTTGATATACTCTGAGCACTGTACCATGCAGATAATCTTTGGATTTCAACCAGCAAATTAAGTAACCTGAATCACTAATTTTCAGTTGGACTAAAATGAAAAAAAGGTACAATAAACTATAAGACTCACAACCAAAAGGAAATGTATTGGCAGAAATAGTTATTTTCCTAAACTACATAAAGAATAAATTGGAAGAGCTTATCCTAAATTATAGATGTGGAAAAGGAAGGTAATCATGTGCTACGAAACAGAGAACCATAATCAGGTCAAAATTAGGTTAACCTGATTTTGATATGAACTTGATATAATTTTTTTCATGTTTAAGCGTGATGATCCATTTTTATCTATTGACCCATTTTATTTCGTGTCCGACCTATTGATTTCATGTTCAGTTCGATTCGTGTTAACATGTCGTATCAAAAATTGACAACCGTAGTGGTGATTGGTAGTTGGTGGGCAACAATGGGTGGTGGCTAATGGATAGTGGTGACGGGTGGTGGAGGTGGAGATGGGTGGTGGTGGCAACGGGTGGTGGTTTGCGGCAATTATGGGTTGTGGTAATTGGCAGGAGATAAAGGGTGGTGGTGGTGGTGGTGGTTGATGGCGATGGTGGGTGGTGGTGATGGTTTATAACGATTGTGGCAGGTGGTTGGTGTTAGTGGGTGGGGGTTGTGTGTAGTGGTTGGTGGCGATGGGCAATGTGGGTTGGCAGTGGGTGGTGGTGGTGGTTTATGGCGATGGAGGGTGATGGTGGTGGGTGTTAGTGGGTGGAGGTGGTGGTTAGTGGCGATGGGTGGAAGTGGTGATGGAGGCGGTGGGTGGTGGTGGTTGATAGCGAGTGGTGGTTAGTGGCGATGGGTGGTGGTGGTGTTGGGATGATAATGGTAATGATAATAAATATAAAAATTAGATAATGGTGGAGGTTTAAGTAACCTCTTTCATCAAGGATGTTTTTGTCAATTATTAATTCTTTATACTTTTAAACTTAAAAAATATTGAGACTTCACCTAAAGCCAAAAAAACCACTTCGTATGAAGCTCTGACCAAATCTCCCAACAAGTTATGGGTTGTTCTAGTTGGGTTGGGNGTGTTCAGTTCGATTCGTGTTAACATGTCGTATCAAAATTTGACAACCGTAGTGGTGATTGGTAGTTGGTGGGCAATAATGGGTGGTGGCTGATGGATAGTGGTGACGGGTGGTGGCTGATGGATAGTGGTGGTGGCAACGGGTGGTGGTTTGCGGCAATTATGGGTTGTGGTAGTTGGCAGGAGATAAAGGGTGGTGGTGGTGGTGGTGCTTGATGGCGATGGTGGGTGGTGGTGATGGTTTATAACGATTGTGGCAGGTGGTTGGTGTTAGTGGGTGGGGGTTGTGTGTAGTGGTTGGTGGCGATGGGCAATGTGGGTTGGCAGTGGGTGGTGGTGGTGGTTTATGGCGATGGAGGGTGATGGTGGTGGGTGTTAGTGGGTGGAGGTGGTGGTTAGTGGCGATGGGTGGAAGTGGTGATGGAGGCGTTGGGTGATGGTGGTTGATAGCGAGTGGTGGTAGTTGGCGGGTGGTGGTTTATGACGATGGTGATGGTGGTGGTGGTGGGTGTTAGTGGCGATAGGTGGTGGTTAGTGGCGATGGGTGGTGGTGGTGTTGGGATGATAATGGTAATGATAATAAATATAAAAATTAGATAATGGTGGAGGTTTAAGTAACCTCTTTCATCAAGGATGTTTTTGTCAATTATTAATTCTTTATACTTTTAAACTTAAAAAATATTGAGACTTCACCTAAAGCCAAAAAAACCACTTCGTATGAAGCTCTGACCAAATCTCCCAACAAGTTATGGGTTGTTCTAGTTGGGTTGGGGTCCACGTATACTTTTTTGGTTGGGGATTTTGGGTAGGAGTAATAGTCGGTGTTCTTTTTCGAGGCCCAAAATAGTAATTGGATTAAA